GCTAATGAAGTGCGCACAGCCTCTTATGAGCACGCAGAACCGACATCGCACCACTGTCCCGTGTCATGGAGCTGCTCCTGAGGGGGGAGGTGCTTCGCAAACCGAGTAGGGATACATATTTCAAAGAATATCAAACATTGGAAAGTAACCAGCACATCCTGAGGGATGCACATAAGAAGGAAAGCATTTCAGAGAGGAATTGTACTAGAGAGAAATCACAAGACGGGGCCACAACCCAGGGCGGCAGCAGCCTCTCTGCCACCAGGTCAGGACAGGGCCACACACATTCTGGCCTGTATGCAGTACTGTAGCCTTCTAGCAAAACCCAGCACTGGACGCGGAATGATTAATTTAGAGGCCACTTGTTATGGAGCATCACATTGTAACAGGCTTAATTCTAACCTCTCCATGACGGGGCATCGCTTTGAAGTCAAGGCGACCATTCGCAGGCAGAAGCCGGCCCTGCTGCCCAGCAGCTCTGAGGCCGGCCCGCGGCCCGCGCCCAGCTTCCTCCGTCCGAGGTGCGGTCAGACCGAGCTGCCTCACAGACCCTCGTGAGAATTAAATGAATGTGTGCGTTAAAAAGTCACCTATAGGCCATGCATGTGGAACAGTGCCTATAATAAGTAATCAATACATGTTCAGTTAGATTTTCTGCCATATAAGCAAAAATTTTGTGTCTTTCTTTCCTTTTGGAGAACTAGAAAATGATCATTTTTTAGTGGTTCTTAAGGTGGTGTTCCTTTGTGTAAGTACATATTGAAACATCAGTCTCGGTGCCTATTCGAGGGGAACGAAGGAACTACCTGGATTTCTTGAAATGAAATATACCGTGTCCATGCCAAGCTGCTGTGTTTGTCAAGTCTTCGTCAATTCCTCTTCATTCACAAACCTCCTCCTTCCTGCTGAAAGGTGAATTTAAAAAGTCATTTCGGTGTCATTTTGAAATCATCGTGGTGTGGACACGTACCTTATTTATTAATATGCCACCTCCTCTCAGGGAAATCTTCCTTTGATAGATGGGTATTTGCAAGTCCCATTATCTTTCATATTTCACTTACAGATGCTTCATTTTTCTTTCTTTGTAGCACTTTGTTTAAATTTGCCAAAGTTTAATACTTTACACTCATTTAAGCTTTATTCTTTCCTTGACATAGATGTGAAATTTGAAAAAAAAATTGATAAACTTCAGAATGCATAAACTTATTTTGACCTTAATAGCTAATATTTATTGAGCACTCAACAAGTGGCAGGCCTCAGCGCTACATAAATATATGGAGCTTCGTCGCTATGCATAGAGAGATGTGTAAGTAGATGTGCATAGTTATATAGATAGGTATAGACATAGGTACAGATATTATCAGAGATTAAGGAACTGTTTCCACAGGATGGATGATGGATGGATGGATAGATAGATGATTGATAGATAGATAGAGATATAGATGATTTATTTCAAGGAATTATCTTAAGCAATTGTAGGAACTGGCTTACTCCAAAATCTGTAGTTCAGGCCTGCTGACAGACAGACTTTCTTCTTCCTTGGGAAACCCCAGTTTTGTTCTGAGCCTCCCCAGAAGTTGAAGTAATCTCCTTTACGAAGACAACTGATTGTAGCTATTAACCACATCTGGACATTTTCTTCACCGCCACCCCTAGGCTAGTGTTTGATCGGATAAGCTGACACTCGAGCCTAGCCAAGTACACCTAAAACTAACCATCATGGGAGCTGCCACAGGTCACACCCATGTCTGCCTGATGCCGGGGACCCTGTTCCGTCAGCCCAGCGTCATGGGCGGCAGGAGGTGGGCTTCTCAGCCAGCGAGGCAATTCTGCCAGAGGGCTGGTGAGGAGAGCTTTGTGTCTGTGGGCGCGAGGGGGGCCTGTCCCCAGTTGGGGGAGAAGGGCCCGATGGACCTTGGGGTCCTAGGTGTGTGTGACCAGGGCTGTGGCTAAGTCGACAGCAAGGCTGCCCGTCGTCATGGTGCTTCCAGGCCCTGGCTCACCCCCTCCGTAAGCCAGAGCGCTCCACCCTTCCATCTCACGGCACACAGGCTAGCTCCTAATTCCACGGCACACCGAGAATACATGTGTTGCCAATTTCACACACACCACAAAACAAGCATAATTTTGTACTCACCCTGGATGGTTATTGTGTTGGCTGTTGTTATTATTATTATTTTTTGACAATCCAAGGCAAAAGAGGTCCAGTGCCCCTCAGAGTCAGGAATTGCATGTTTTAAAAATTCTTGCTGCACGCAGGTTGAAAATCACTGCCTGAGGGCAATACTCAGAGGTCAGAACGAGTGACCGGCGCCCTGGGATATTTACGGTAGGGGCCTGACCTAGCAAATGTTAAGTTCCTAAGTTCATTACCGGGATAAATGCAGAACGGGGTGAAGCACAGGAATCTGAGTTGTCCTGTCTGAGTGTTGATCCAGGTGAAAAAATGAAATTTACATTTTACCCAAGCATTTTTCTTGTGCAATAATCCTTGCAGGAGAGGAGAAGTCACCTCTTTGGGTCTGGCTCTGTGTTTGATACGAATGTCTTTCTTTAGACAAGTTATTTTAGCAGTGAGTCCAGAAAACCATCTCCGCCTTCTTAGTGGTGGGCAGCCAGCCAGCTCAGATGCCCGGGGAGCAAAGGAGGATCTCGGACTTCACTGCCTGCAGACCTGCATCTTATTGCCGCTTCATTCTCCGGGTCCTGTTTTGGATCTGTTTTAAAGGGTTTGGCTTATCGTATCACCTTGAAATTGCATAGCCCTTTGGGTTGTTTTTCTTGTTTGTTTATGTTTTTTTAACAGGAAAATGAAGAGCTATGAAACATATGCTATCTCATAGTATAGTAATACGGCAGGGGAGACAATTCCTTATTTAAATCTTAATTCTAAGCATGGCATATGCATATGTTGGTTTGACTAATCAAGTGTAGCTTAAACTACGGTCATTTTTTAAATAGCTTTCAAGAAACATTGCTTTGTCATTAGAGTTTTCAAGTACATTTTTTATGTAACTGTAACCACCCCCATCTCAGACTTTGTAAAAGAGTTACATAAATAAGCACACATTTATGTAATAGTTTCCATGTTACAAATATACCTGAGGACTATCTCTCTGTCAGAAAATGAAGAAATAGGCTTATCCCCATTTCACTTATAGAGAAGCCAAGGCAAAGGCAAATCAAGTGATTTGCCTCACCTTCCTAGATAATTAAGATACTTTAAAAAAACAGTCTTACAATTATCTATGAGGAAAGGGCAAACTTCTTGGGGGAGAAAATTGAGGGGCTGCTGGACAGGGAAGAAAAATGTTTGATTTAATGTGAAGGGACCACAGAGGTTTATTGCTGGTTACACACTCAGTCCACAAGCATCTGGATTCAGATCAGACATGGTGCCTCCCTGGTCTCATGTGACCACAGTCATTCTTGGGCCCTGCTTATTACTGTGTCCGCTGGCAACTACCTATCACCCTTTATTTCAATACAAAATAAATCCTTCTCTCTCTAGAATGACCCATTTGTGGCATGGAATGGGTTTTGGATAGTAAATAAAATCAAACTATAAATGTTCCCCAGCCCTCATGGAACTGAGGTGAATTAACTCTCCACTTTCCTGCGGTGAGGTGGTTGCTATCGTATTTGCTTTGCTTATACCTTGAAAAAAATGTAGCCTGCTATTCAGTTTCTTTCCCAAATTTCCACAATGATTTTCTAATTATATAATTGTTACGTGCATGTTGTAGAAAATTTGGAAAATAAGGAAATAATGAAAAAATAGAGTGTATATATTCCCACCACCAGAAGTGATCATTGTTTATGTATCCTGTTTTCCAAAACTTGGCTCCTACTAGACAGTGTTTTATATCTTGCTAGTTCATTTAGCACTATATTTGGACTACAGTCTGATACCACACTTTTCAAATATTCGTTTTTACGGCATTTTGTTCTCTTGTCTTTGTTAAAGTGAGACTAATTTACTCATTCTGTGGGCATTCTGGTATTCCTCCGTCCTATGTGGGGTTTTTTTCTCTATTTTTTAAAAAAATGTTTGCATTAACCATTTTTGCACACTAAACCTTAGTTTGCATGTCTTAGTGTTTCCTTAGGATAAATTAAAAACTGTTTTCTAGAAACTGAGCACTAACTGGTTTGTCTGTCAAAGGAGTATAACAAACCTATCTCTGAGGTTGCCAAGTAATGTAATTCTCTTAAATCCTTTTGGTATTAGAAAAGGGGAGATCATATCTCACTGTCTTAATTCGTACTTCTTAAATGGCTAAAATAATTAGTAATTTTTTTTGTGCTTATAAGGTATTTATATTACTTCCTATCCCAATTTTTGTTGGTCTTAGTTTATGCCTCTGTTGAAAAGCTAATATTCCCTCTTGAAATTGAGAAACTTCTTTATACAGGAAAGACGTTTTATTTGTTAAAATATTCTCCTGGTGAATCATTTGCCTTGTAATTTGTTTGTACTATTTTAAATTGTTAAACCTGAATTTTTGTGCTAAAATATATTTTTTTCTTTGACATTTTTCGTCGTTTTTTGTTTGTTTGTTTGTTTGTTTGTTTTAATGATCTTCCATGTTCAGGAACTAGTCAAATATATGTTCATAATTTTTTCAGTTTTTGTGATGAGATTTTTATATTTAACACTTTATTACACCAACAATTTATTTTTAATTATGACATGAGGAAAGAATATAACCTGATTTTACCCCCTAACACTGTATGTGTGTGTCGTGTATATCCATGTTCCTGTATATGTCTGTGTCTGTGAAGGTGTGATGTGTGACATGTGCTTAGTTATGTATTAAAGGTATACTCTGAGGTCTGTTACATTGTATTATGTACATTCTTTTATGTTTATTTTCTTACAGATTTTTCCCTCTAAGAACCACATTATTTTAATGATTGCAGCTTTCTACGTTTTGAAGTATCTAATAGGAAAAGTTTCTCCTCCTGCTAATGATATTTTATAAATTTTTATTTCCTAGGTTTGCCAGAACCCAAAAAAGACCACATCTTCCAAGGCCTGACACAGGACCAGGGGTTTTATTCATCCAAAGACTTTCTGCCTCTCGTAGCCAAAGGCAGTAAAGCAGGTAACGTATAGCTCTGCCCCATGCTGCCCGTGGCGCCACACACACTCCGAGCCTATGGCGGGTCCAGGCTCGAGACATGGTTCAGATTGGTCCCTTCATAGCACTGATGTAAAGAAGAAGAAGAGCCTAATATACCCATTTGCCAGACAGTCTGCTTGCTCATCTTTCCAGTCAAGCATCATCACAAAGACTTTTCAGTCTTACATACAGATCTGAGCTGCATCATGAGAAATTGCTTCAAAGGAAGAGTCATAAACAGATATTGGAAGATGTTCTTAGAAGAAATGTCAGAGACTTCAGTTTGGGGACTAGTGTATTTAATTATTTTATTTTGACATTGGAGAAACGATCATATAATTTGTGTCCGAGCAGGCAGAAAGAGTGTCTCTTCTAGAACAGGAAATTGATGAAGTTCAGGTTAAACACTTTGATAGACACCTGGTACGTATTCTGTGTAATAATACTTCACAGACCCCAGGGACAGTCTAAAGCTGATACTGTCCTTTGCTTTGTCTAGACTGGAGTCATGTCTTAATGACACAGAAGCTGTAATATATTCTCCAAAACCAGATCATCTAAATCCTTTAAACATATATATTCTTAAAAGTCTATTCTGACATCTAATTACAAGTAGAAAAGATAAGAACTTACATTTTTCTCCCAAATTTTTAAAAAACACACCTTTCTCTATTAGATCATTTTGTAGAAGTTTATGGTTAAAGGCCCTGGCCGGTTTGGCTCAGTTGTTAGAGCGTCGGACTGCGGTCCAGAGTGACTCAGGTTTGGTTCCCGCTAAGGGCACGTACCTCGGTTGCAATTTGTTCCTGGTCCCAGTTGAGGTTGTGCGGGAGGCAGCCACCTTTCACGTCAATGTCTCTCTCTCTCTTTCTCCCTCCCCCTCCCTCCCACTCTATCTGAACAAAAATGGAAAAATGTCCTCAGGTGAGGATAAAAAAAATAATAATAATAAAAGGTGTGTGTACCACCCCCATGTTCCTCCTTCAAAGAGATCAAGACACATGTGGCATTCTAAGGAAGGTCACAGTGCAGGTGAAATATCAAGGGGCCAATTGCACAACTCCGAGTCCGGGCTCTTCCAAGAAAAACGCTTACACTCACTGAAATTATAGGCCTATGCTGTCCATGATGCCATTTCAAACATTATAGTAACTTATCAACAGTTGTATTTAATCTGATAATACACTACCACTTAAGACATAGAAAACACCTGTATTTTACCTTTTTACATTAATTTTTATATGAACATCATCTTCATATAGGTGCTCTTGAGAAATGTATACTTAGACATTTTTCCTTTAATGCTCAATTTTATTTAAAAAAATAGAAAAGTATAGAAAGTTTTATTTTTAACTATTTAAAAAAAAAAGTTTCAGAAATTCTTCAGTTACCTAAAGAACACTTATTCAGCATGGTAATCTTTAATTTTCAAAGTTTCCTAAATGGTAATAATAGGAGGGTTGTATGTTAGAAGTCTTTCAGCATAATGGCTAAATAACGTATTATCATATGAATAATTAACCCAGATCATGAGGACCACTGGCTTTGCTTTTAACTAACAGAACATTAAGGATGCCAACTTAAAAGTACTGGTCCCCGTCTTGCCACGAGAACTTGAATCGATTCCAGTTTGTTGTGACCTATACTTTCCAAGATGTGTTGTAGCTATCCTTCTAGAAGGAAAAAAGAAGTCAAAGGTACTGACTATGAAATTACATACATGAGCATATTTCTAAAATGAGAATAAAACTGTCTTCCAATGAAGCAGAATAATTTGATAGCGACACTCCATCCTTGCACGCGGCGAGATGCGATTTCACACTGCTTTGAGGACAAGTGTCTTTTGAGCTGTCATGCAGAAATGGTTTCTGTACTTGAAATGGGGTTTCCTTTCATCATTCAGGGATGTGCGCCTGTCACTCTCCATTGCCATCGGTCCGGGGAGCCGTGATCGTGCTGGGAGCGGGAGACACGGCTTTCGACTGCGCCACCTCAGCGCTGCGCTGCGGGGCCCGCCGCGTGTTCGTCGTCTTCAGGAAAGGCTTCGTGAACATCAGAGCTGTCCCCGAGGAGGTAAGGCAGACCCATCAGAAAGGGGCCGCCAGGCCGCAGGTCTGGGAGAGGAGACTGTTCACGTGCCATCTGCATGTTCTTGAAATTGGGAAATGCAAATGTGAGCATTTCTTCCTAACCCTGTTGTTTTTCTAATCCAGGCGGGGAAAGTGAAGGAAAACTATTTTTTAATACTGATTCGGATAAACTGCGGGACTTTATCTTTGTCAGCACACAAGTGCCTCTTATTCTAGGTATTAATATCTTTGGAATGTATTTAACAGTAACAGTGGACTGTTCGCAGTCTTTCGTATCCTGGACAATAGGTACTCACAGTAAAGATAAGTTTAAAAACCGAAAGCAATAGGCACTGCTCGCGAAGCGTGTGGCACTGGGAGGATGCTGCAGGTAGGGACATCTGCAGTTCTCGTGAGCAGATGCGGAGCGCCTCCGGAGGAAGAAGCTTGGTCGTACTGCCTGCTCATTCTGTCCTGGAGACCGAGAACCAAGACGTGGCCACTTATATTTTGAAAGAGCTCTAATGCAAGCATTATATAGAATGAGTAATGAGTGAGCTTCCTGAAAAGGACAGATTTAAAAGCACCTCACTCTTACAGGTGACTGGTGACTAATCTTGGGTGAGGCATCAGCTGGGTGTGGGTACCTTGGGCTGCTCAGATTGTCATACCCTTACAGAAAGTAATGGCTTCCAAAGGACAGCAGTTCTGAGAACAACGACCGAACATATCCGTTGAAAGACGAATGACTCATTATATTCAAATCAGTATTACAAATTTGATTTGCTTTAGAATGCCTGGACATATTTGGAGTCTACTCTGGGCAAGAATTGTAAGTGTAGTCCACAGGGAGTTCACCACCTGCAGAACGACCACAGGAGAGGTTCCCTACTCAGACACCGGAGTCCTCGCGGGTTCATGGCGCACTTCAAACGGCAGCTCTGTCTTCTGGCTTTGCACACCTTGTCTACCCTTCAGACTTCTGTCCCAGACCAGGTGGTGGTGATCTTACAGACCTCTGAGCTTTTCCTGCAGTGTTAAGCACCGGTCTGCACTCTCATCATGGCACACGTAACAGGATACAGCCGTCTGGAGTGGCGTGATTTGCCTGGGAGGAGAGAAGACATGAGCTGACTTCGCTCATCTTTGTGTTCCCATGTCTGACATAGGACCTCCGCAGGCATAGGTGCTGAGAAATATGTTTCGAACTAAACATTCTTAATCTTGTTCTGATTCCAATGCCAGAGGCGTTTCCATGGCACAAGCCTCCCCTCTGAGGGTTGGGGGTTAGGAGAGGAGATGGCCCCGGACAACACTATCCCTGGCAGCACACTGCGTATCACAGGCCTCTCCCCTTGGCAAGGGCAGCTCAACCACTGTTTATGAACATCAGTGTGTACCTGCTGTGTACCAGGCATTGTTTCAGGTGACTGAAGACAGGAGCGAACAAATCAGACAGCAGTTATTGTCCATGTGGAGCCTGCACCCAGTGAGGGGAGACACTCCACCACCCAACACAAATGGCCACATACAGACGATGGCAAAACGTGCTGGGCAGACGAGTTAAGCACTGTGGAAGCACAGAGAGGGTGTCTGGGGGGGGGGGGGAGAGGTCCAGGAAGGCTCTCTGCTGAGATGGCTGGGCAGGAGCTGGAGACACCGGGAGGGTGGCTGGGGCGGGGGGGGGGGGGGGGAGGAAGAGGGTGGTCCAGGAAGGCTCTCTGCTGAGATGGCTGGGCAGGAGCTGGAGACACCGGGAGGGTGTCTGGTGGGGGGGGGGGGAAGAGGGGAGTCCAGGAAGGCTCTCTGCTGAGATGGCTGGGCAGGAGCTGGAGACACCGGGAGGGTGGCTGGGGGCGGGGGGGGGGGGGGGGAGGAAGAGGGTGGTCCAGGAAGGCTCTCTGCTGAGATGGCTGGGCAGGAGCTGGAGACACCGGGAGGGCAGACATTCTGGAGAGGAGACCTCTGGACCAAGGCAGCGCACTCACCATGACTGAGAAAGGCCCTGAGACTTCTCGGAACAGAAGCAAGTCCATGAGGCTGGAGCAGAGTGGGAGAGGCCGTGGGTGCAGCCCTGGTCTTGTGGCCGTGCTGTGGCCGGCTGACGTGCGGCCTGGAGAGGCAGGGAGGCGCGGTGGCCTGTGTGTCCTCCGCGGCAGGGTTTCTGAGAGGGCACGTTCCGGGACACACTGCTGGCCGAGGTGAGGACAGCGCCGTTGCGAACCCTGCGCACTTCTCCCGGTCCTCGGCTTTCTGCGCAGGACGCGCACGCTGCGCCCACACCTGCTTGCTTCAGCGTCCACGGAGATGGAGCGTGGGGACGTTCAGGATTCTCTCAGACACGGATTGTGTGACGGGATCTTGGATACATCGTGGAAGTGGCGCATTGTCTGTGGGTCAGGGCCTCGGAGGCATGACAGCGTGGGCGTGTCGGACCGCAGGGCTGGTTCGATGGTTCGGAGGACGGGCATGCAGAACCCGGAGCAGTGCCCTCGCCCTTCGAGGGCAGCGGAGCGTTACTACGAAGGCCAGTTACCGAGAAGGGGGCCCTGCTGGAGAGGCACCTTGTAAGGAAGAACGGTGTGGGAACACCCGACGTGCTCTAATGGACAAGGCTGGGAGCCCCACGGGGAGCAGCTGCAGGGGTGGCCCCACCCCCTTCTCTGACGCAGGGTCTGGCGCTTCCCTCGTCAGTATCACCTGGGGGATTGGAAACATAGCTTGGGGGCCCCGGTTCTGACTCAGTAGGTCTGGGTAGGCCTGAGAATTTGCATTTTTAACCAGTTTCCCGGTGACACAGAAGCTGCTGGTGCCCTGCTGTGAGGCGTGGTCAGTGCAGGTTGCGGCTGCCGAAGGAGAGCCACCGCGGCGGGGAGGTGCCCTCCGTGTTCGTCCAGAAGCACCCGTGCCCAGGACAGAGGTCTCATCGCATGAAGACACAGGCATCACGAGCACATTGACGTAATTCTGAGTCCAGATGTCTGTCGGTCTCCCTTGTGGCCTCACACACATGCTAAGCAGGATGCTGCTGACAGGCTGCCGCGCTGCAGCGGAGGGTCCGTGGGGAAGGCAGCCCGGGGCTGCGCACTGCGCCGGGGATCCGTTAATAATCCCCTCCAGTACTTCCTGCAAGCTTAAAGAGGGGAGATTAAATTTCACAGGAGAACAGAATCCCCCCAAATGCGGGTATTAAAAGCTGTTGACGGATCAGATAGAATGTGAAGAGCGCTCCAGGCAGTTGGAATCCCTGGAAGGAGGCATGAAGGTCAGGACTCCCGTCCTGCTTGGGCGGGTAATTGTACAGGTGGGCCAGGAAGGACTTCGACGTTCTCATGAATCATTACTGAGCGGAATATGGAACAGAATTGTTTTACTAGCACAGCCCCACACATAGAGTGTAAGAATCTGTTGTTCACTTATTCAATTTCTCAGCAACAGCAAACAGGATAGGTCTTTAATTCTGCAGCAATTTACATGAGCTTCTAGACTACTCCCAGATGCCCATGGCTTCCCCCTCTTTGTTTGCTAAAATGGCAACTGATTTAACTTGTACATGCCTGTTTCCATATTTTTTAGCATTCAGAAGGTCAACTGTTCTGATAATTAACTCTGCTTTATTAATTTTAGTAATGAAGACAACAGTACCAGATTGCCTGGTCTGTTACTCAAAAATATCTTCATCTGTTAAAGCAACTTTGAAATAATTAATACATCTTTATGCGAAAACCTGTGCCTTTTCTCTGAACCCTCTGAGCCATGCCCATGAGGTCGTGCCGGTGGCCGATCTGCAGGTGTCCCTCAGACACCTTAACACCAGGTGACCCCGTCATAGCCATTCCTTCCTCTCTTCCTCTCATTCCGCATTCTCTTCCTCTACATCTTGCTGGCTAAACATGCATTTTCTACCAGTACCTGATGCTTTTCAGTTTTTACATAATTATAAGAACTATGAGCCTGGGATTATTTTAAGCCAATAACCTGTCTGAGCTGGCGAATTTGATTTCACTTAGTAAGGATGATGCTAGTAGTACCTCCTTCCACGCTTGGCGTGCACGCCCTCTGAGCTGGCTCTGCAGAGTGACAGCAGACCGGCCAGCATGGCCAGACTCAAAGGCACCTGCACATCAGCAAACACAGACATTGCCCCCCCGGCAGGCACCTTCCTTAGGGTCCCTGGGGACTCCCTGGCAGGAAGCCAGGAAGTATACCTTCAGTGCTTGATGATGATGTGAGAATGACATTCCAAGGACCTGCGCATGGTTACATGTTCAAAAGGGGGAAAATTCAGTGTCATAGGAGAAGGAGACCTGAACCATTGAGAGGAGTGAACTGACATTGGAGGACCTGGTGCTGGGTTAGATCTGCTAGTTTGAGTCGGTCCATCTGCAAAATCAGTGTCATAACCACTGATTATGTCTTAGAGTTTCTTCTGTTCCCCAAGTTCTGTACTGGGAACATTCAGAGAAGGGTATGGGAATGAAGGAACCCGGACAGGAGGCTATATCTCCTGGGCATGGCAGCAGCTGTGTCCTGAGCATCTGTACATGCTACACTTGCAGCAGGTTGAGATGGGCGTGTCCCCAGCCAGAGGCGGTGAAATCCACGCATGAAATATGGGGATGTCAGAGAGGCTGACTGTGACATCACTACCTGGGATGGTTCAGATGGTGGGTGGGAAAGAACAAAGGAGACAGGCCAGGAGCCAACAAAGCCTGTGTTTGTCCAAGACAATATATTTTCAAAGCTTAACTCTTTTCAAAAATTTCGAAGTGGTGGTACATTATGTTGGCTAGGAATATCTGGAGAGCTTAAAACTGTATACTTTTTTAAAGTTTGTTTTTAATCACATACATATGATATAAAATATTATATAATAATTTATAAATTATATGCTAATATATATTTATGTAAAATTATATATATTTGTGTAATGAAATTATACATAAAATATTTATATAAAATTATATGACATACATAATACATAGACAAATATCTATATCTGTA